CATCTTCCTAATTTCAGAAACCCAATTGAATTGTAATCTGGGTAAACAGTTTATCCAAATTATTAAATTGGTAAAGGTGTGATCCATTGATTATGGGTTGTAGCCAATTGGGTAAGGCAATGTTTGGGTATCAACTAAGTGCTTATTAACTAACAGACATAACTCTAATTGGTGCACCCAAACAGACAATAGGCACCATGTAACCTATCAAAACCAATTTATTATAACCCCAATAAATTCACCCAAAAAGACACACTCAATCACCAATAAGCACTATGTATCCTATCGAACCCAATTAATTATTTCAGCAGTATCGGTGTATTACTGAGTCGAATTAGAGAAAGTATTACTCGGTGGAGGTTTGCCGAGATTCATTAGTTTCTAGTGCTACTATCGGTGGGTGAATGTAGGCCGTTGTATCATAGGATATAAGCATCGATTAGTGCTTTTATGAGTTAAATTAAAAAGAAGAGTCAAAATAGAGAGTCTTACATAGTGGAGCTTTGTAGAATCCATTGGTTTGTAATACTTTTGCCATTGGGCGGATCACTGGAATTCATTTGTTTGTAATGTTGCTACAGGTAGATAGAGATTGTAATATCATAGGAGATAAACGTCGATATATAGGTGTATTTATGAGTCAAATTAGAGAGAGTATTGCGCAGTGGAGGTTCGTTGTCCAATGGCCTGTGGTGCTGCTATTAGTAGATGGAAGTCGTCATATCCTAGAAGATAAGTGTCAATGGGTGCATTTCTGAATCAAATTAGAAAGAGAGTAAAAAAATAAAGTATTATTGCACAATGGAGGTTCATCACAGGATCTAATTAGTTTGTAGTGCTATTATCAGTGGGTGGATCGTCGGAATCCATTAGTTCGTAATGCTGCTACCACTGGGTGGAGACTGTTGTATCTTAAGAGACAAGTGCCGATAAATACATTTATGAGGCAAATTAGAGAGAGTATTACGCAGTGGAAGTTCATCGAGATCCATTGGTTTGTAATGTTACTCTCGCTGGATGGAGACCGTTGTATCCTCTGAGATGGGTACCTACACTATATGGGACGTAGATTATGTTATGAACATAATATTAAATACTAACCTCCAACCAATTCTTTATTTTATTTACATTAAATATGCATGATTAACTAAATAATATAAAGTAAATCAGTTAACTAAATGTTATTTTAGCATATTATTAATATGTCATTTATTTCATATGCATATTAATATAATAATTGTTTTTATCTTAAATGCCATATAAAACATATATTTTTCAACATTACGTTGGGTCATCAAAATGGAAACATAAATTGAAAGCTAGTAGAATATTATCATGGAACCCTTGCTAGCTTCGTCTATCATATTGGGAAAGAACACAACAATGAATCCTTGAAAACCTTTCAAAGCCTCCATTGAAAACCCTTTCCACCGTTGTTGATTCCTCTCCATCTGTTTTTGATATTCAACCTTTACCAGGCAATTCACATTTATTCCAATATTTTTTTAACATCCAATATTAAAAATATTCTTTTAACCAATATTATTGATCATTGTGGGATTGATATCCAAGCCGTTGTGTTTGACATCAAAGTTGGGCTTAGGAGCTTTACCTCGGCAAGGGTTAGCTAGTCATGTTCGTAAACATGATACCGAGGTAGCAAATGCGATTGCAAAACATTTTGAGTTCTATCCAATCGAAAAAAATGTTTAGAATATTGCTCCTTTACCAAAATTTTCCTGTACTTAACCAAAGAGAAAAAATTAAATTTTAGTAATCAAAATTAAAGATAATAATTTTGTAGTGAGACCTTAAAGTTACGTATCAATCCTAAAACTACTGGATGGGATATTCAGTCCCTTATTCTACCTTTACACTCAATTTGTCTTTTTCTTCCAAGTAAAATAACTAAAAGAGATTCATAAACTCATTAATACATCATTTCTTATTTTATAATACCATAACTATTCCTTATACTATAAATTTAACTTCTTCTTTTTTTTAAACCTTCTTTATTTTATTTAACACTTGTTTTTTAGGTCTAGTCAAAAGATAGAATTTATTGAATAGAGATTTATTTATTTATTTATTTTTTCGTCCAAGCAAAAAGATTAAAGGGATAATTTATGTCGTCGTGAGATTTTTTTTTTTTCCTGGCAAAAAGATTGGGTCTTGCAAAAGTCATACTTTATTCAATAAAGATAATTTATATAGTCGTGAGATTTTTTTTTTTTTTTTTTTTTTTTTTTTTTTTTTTCTCATGTCAAAAAAGGATAATTTATTTAGGAGAGAACATTTTTTTAGGTTTTTTTTTCGAACTTTTTATATTTTTATTTTTGAGTCTTGTCAAAAATGATAATTTATTTAATAGAGAAGTTCTGGATTTTTTTTTTTTCCCTGTCAAGAATAAATAATTTTTGTAGAACATAGACCAAAAATATTAAACATGGGAAAGAGAGAGGGGGAGACTAACAATATACCAAAGAGTAGTTACCATGAAAGAGTAGTTGTGTAACTTTTTTTTAAAGAATAATCATTCTCTTGTGAAGTTAGGGTTAGAAAAGTAAATTTATTTTAAATGAGATTGTAAATGTAATTTTGCTCTTCAGTGACCATTTGAAGCTCAATTTTGTAAATAACTTCTTACATCTCTCTTAAATTTTTTGTTTTTTTCGATAATTAATCTCTCTCAAATTTGGAAGATGGTTTTCTGAATTTTTTACTGCATTTTATTATTTTATATATATATATATTGGGTAAGTTATGGGGGTTTGTTGTTTTTCATGGTAGTGCTAAGGATAATAACGTTCTTCAATCATTTTACTTGAATAGGTTGGGGCCGAGTTAAAACTTGTTTTCCACTGACTTGTATAAATGGATTGTAAAATTTCTCTCTCTAAATATCTATCACATCATCCATTTCATAGCCACTGCCTTCCTCTCCACAAAAGATTTTCAGATCTGCATCTTTCTCATTCAGTTCCTCATTCTCCTTCAAACCTTCTATTGAATTCATTTTATTAAAATTCCAAAAAGATTCGTATCATTACTTGGAAAAAGTTTATGATTGTGAATCTTTCTCATATATAAATTTGAATCGGTTTCACAAATCAATTTGTTCTTTAAATATTTGATTGAAGTTAGTTACTGTATTTAATTACAAAATGAGGTTTAAATTATTTAATTATTTTTAGTCACTAAAAAGTAATTTTATGTTGCACGACTATCTAAATTCGTATAACCTTAAAGGTCACTTCAAAATAACTATCTTTGATTTTGGTCATTAAAATCTATTTTTTCGTGACAAAATTTCTATAGGATAAATTTCTACTATACCTTATCATGATGCTATTATAGTTATGGTATTTTATTCTTTCACACATCTCTCATTTTATTTTCTTATTTCCCTATTCTTTTAATCAATTGAATACTAATTGTGAACTATCAAATAGTCAGTCTTAATATCAAAGGTTTTAGGTTTTTATTCGCTTTTCAAAGTAAAATCAAGTGTTCAACTTTTCAAAGGCAAAGTGGAAGAGTGGATAGTGTATGGATGTGTTTTTTATTAATAAAAAAATTATTTAATTAATATGATCAATCTTAAACATCTTTCTTCTATTGGACCACGAACAACCAGCATATGATAGAAGAAGAGGTCGAAGAAGCTTTGCTTGTAATTTTAGTTACGTAGTATTTTTTATTTTTTTATTTTTAAGTTAGTTTTATCATTTTAATTTTTTTTTAAAATTTTATATTTATTCATGATTTGAACAATTTTGTTTGCCTTGTATAGAAAATTATACGGATTATATTATTTCTGCAAGTGGGCGATTACTGTTGAAAAAGTGTAGAAAGTGGGTTGTTCATCATGCATTACTAATGGTTTCAAGTTTCAACAATGTATGCCTTAGTAAGTAGAACGAGCGCACTATACGTAGAGAACCAATTAATTTCAGCCATAGTGCGCACGATTGAGACAATGGCCAATGTGTATATATATATTTTTGGATCCTATTTTATGCCCACGTTTTTACTTCAACCCAGGTATGTATATAAGTAAGAGCGTTAAAGCAGCATTGCTACACATCCAACATATATAAACCATGGGGTCTTCAACTTTAGAGAAGGTTCTCTCATTTGTTTCCTTAGTCCTGTTTGTTATTTTGTTGTTTTCACCCCATTCAGCTACTGCTTCTCTTCAAGAAGCTAATGCTCTCTTCAAATGGAAAGCAAGCCTTCAACACGAAAACAATTCTGTGCTAACTTCATGGATTTTTCCTTCTAATTATTCCTCGAGCAATCCAAGATCAAGTGCCATCCCATGCACTTGGTTTGGAGTTTCGTGCAATGCTGATGGAAGTCACGAGATTGAACCTCACAAGCGCAAGTGTAAGTGGTATGCTCTATGCTTTTCCGTTCTTGTCTTTCCCTAATCTTGCATATATTGATCTCAGTGTGAATGGTCTTTCCGGTACCATCCCACCTCAAGTCGGTAAACTCTCAAAACTCATCTATCTTGACTTGTCCATCAATCAGTTTTTCGGAATAATCCCACCACAAATCGGCCTGCTAACAAATCTTCAGGTCCTCCACCTGTTCTAGAATCAGTTAAATGGGTCAATTCCGGAAGAAATAGGCCAGCTAAAGTCCCTTTCTGAGCTTGCTTTGTACACAAACAATCTTGATGGTCCAATTCCTGCTTCTTTGGGCAGTTTGAGCAACTTGGCTCATTTGTATCTCTATGAAAACAAACTCTCTGGTTCAATTCCATCAGAAATGGGAAATCTCTTCAATCTTGTCGAGCTTGACATGGATACCAACCTTCTCACAGGTCCCATTCCTTCAACTTTCAAGAACTTGAATAATCTAACTTTGTTGTACCTATTCCAAAATCAGCTCTCTCATCCCATTCCCCCAGAGATAAGAAACCTGAAATCGCTTGAGAGTCTAATCCTTTATACAAACAATCTTTCTGGCTTAGTCCCTGTATCCTTGGGTGATTGACTGAACTACTTCTCTTTGAAAATCAACTCTCCGGTCCCATTCCTAAAGAATTAGGGAAGTTAAAGGCTCTAAATGATCTAGAATTGAGCGAGAATCAACTCAATGGTTCTGTTCCGGCTTCATTTGGTAATTTGAGCAACTCGGAGTTTTTGTTCCTTCGTGACAACCAACTCTCGGGTCTCATTCCACAAGAAATTGGGAATCTAGAGAATTTGGTCATATTGGAAACGGATGAGAATCAATTTTCTGGCTATTTACCTGAAAAGATTTGCCAAGGCGGGAAACTGGAACGCTTCTCGGTAAACAATAATCAGCTTACTGGTCCAATCGCCAAAAGCTTGAGAAACTGTACCAGTTTAACAAGAATGCGCCTAGATGGAAACGAGCTCACTGGAGATGTGTCTAAAGTTTTTGGTATCTATCCAAATCTTAAATTCTTAAATTTAACTGACACCAATTTTTTTGGTGAACTCTCTTATAGATGGGGACAGTGTCAAAATTTGACAAACCTATGGATGGCAAGGAACAATATCACTGGACGAATACCACCAGAGTTTGGAAATTTAACTCGACTTCAAGTAATTAATCTGTCTTCAAATCAAATAGGTGGGAATATTCCAAAGGAACTAGGGAAGTTGAATTTGCTAATGCTTGATTTGAAAGACAATCAACTTTTTGGTGGTATACCTAGAGAATTCGGATCACTAGCTCATCTGTTGTATCTTGACCTTTCCATAAACAGATTGAGTGGGTCAATACCGAAAAATCTTGAAATATGTTTGCAGCTGTATTAGTTGAACTTGAGCTACAACCATTTTAGCCAAAAAAATTCCACCTGAAATGTATAATTTAGCTCACCTGTCCGAGCTAGATTTGAGTCACAATCTACTCATGGGAGAAATATCGTCACAAATTGAAAATTTGCAGAGTTTGGAGGAGCTATTTCTCTCCCACAACAACCTCTCTGGTTTACTTCCAGAGCCTTTTGAAAAAATGAATAGCTTGATGTATGTTGACATATCCTACAATGGGTTTTGAGGTCCCATTCCCAGCAACAAAGCCTTTAGAAATGCTACCATAGAGGCATTACAAGGGAACAATGGTTTGTGTGGCAATTCTACAGTATTGAAACCTTGCGAAAATGGCCAACACGTTGTGAAGGAAAGCCACAAACTCACTTTAGTTCTTATAATTGTATTACCTCTTGTGGGAGCACTTTTACTTCTTGGTGCATTCATCGGACTCCTCATCATGTTTGGAAGAAGGAAAGGTAAAGCACCAGTTGAACAAGGTTATTTCCAGGATGAAAAAATCTGTTTTCAATTCCTAATTTTGATGGAAGAGCAATGTATGATGAAATCTTAAAAGCCACTAACGATTTTGATGACTCATATTGCATTGGGAAAGGAGGATATGGAACTGTCTACAAAACAAAGTTGGCATCAGACAACATAGTGGCTGTGAAAAAACTTCATCCACTATCTGAGACAGCAGATTGCCAAGGGTTTTTGAATGAGGTAAGGGCATTGACTGAATTACGACATAGGAACATTGTCAAGCTTTATGGCTTCTGTTCACATGCTCAACATTCATTTCTGATTTGTGAGTACTTTGAAAGGGGTAGCTTGTCCACGATCCTGAGTAGAGATGAAGAGGCTGAAATTTTGGATTGGCCTAAGAGGGCGAATATCATTAAGGGGGTGGCTCATGCTGTATCTTACATGCACCATGATTGCTCACCACCAGTTGTTCATAGGGACATATCAAGCAACAATATTTTGTTGGACACCGAGTATGAGGCTCATGTCTCAGATTTTGGCACGGCTAAGCTTTTGAAGCTGGACTCATCAAATTGGAGTAAACTTGCAGGCACATATGGATATATGGCACCAGGTAAACGTAGTATTCTGTTGTTATAACTAATTTGTTATATGTAATACTGCAGATCAATTATACTTTTTCTTTGCAGAACTAGCTTTCACAATGAAAGTGACTGAAAAGTGCGATGTGTATAGCCTTGGGGTGTTGACACTAGAAGTGATCAAAGGAAAGCATCCAGGCAATCTGACCACCTTGCTACCATCTACATCTATTGGTCATAACATAATGCTGAAAGATGTGTTGGACCAACGCCTTCTAGCTCCCTCAACCGAAGCTAAAGAGGTGTTGATATCAATTACAAAGCTGGCCATTGCATGTCTAAATGTCAATCCACAATATAGGCCGACTATGCACATTGTCTCACACATGTTGTCAACCCTAGTAACACCTTCCTAGCACCATCCAGCTCGGTTGTGGAAGACTAGTTACTTAGGGAAGTATGGGTATACTACAAATAAAACCAAATGCTAGCCCAATATTTCTGCTCTTCTTTGTAACTTATAGTGTGCTGTTTTTAGTCCTTGGTATGTACATGCACTTCGTATCAATATATTTTCAGTATTGTTTGTTCAACATTGTCCTCAATGTGCAGACATGAGTTTAGACGTTCGTACTAAGTGGTTAACTGTTGTTTTGACCCTATGACAATTATGGTACGAACTGAGAAGCCACCTCACACCACCTTGCGTTTAATATTCATATCTCATCTTGTCATTAGGAAAAAAAAAAAAAAAAATTAAAAAACACATGTTTCATTTATGAAAAAAGAAAAGCGCATGTTTCTGACACTTAAGCTATTTTAAATTAACAATTGATTAAATCAAGCCAACTATTTCTTCATTTTTTTCTACAAACAATAACACGTTTCTTAAAATTGAAAATCAAGTATTGAAAACTTAAATTTGAAAATTTCAGAACTCAATTGCGACAGAGGACTTTAGTTTCATAAGTGATCTTACTTCAAACATACCCAAAACAATGATGATTATAGGGAGAGGTGGACTAAAACATATTTTTCCATAAATTAGTTACTCTTAAATTAAGATCTTCCGTCTCACTTCTGTCATAACAATAACTCAAAATTTAAGTAAATTTAAGACCTATGCTCAACAGTTCCAATTTCCTTCACTATTCATCCAAAGGAATATATATATATATATATAGTAAAATTTAAATTGAAACAATGCATTGTGCCTAATATCAATTGTTCCGTTGGTCGAAAAAGACATTCATCTTGGAATGTTTGGTAATTTCTTATCCATCATGTTAATTAATATGAGTGATGGTATTTTATGTTCATAATATGTTTCATGCCTCACAGGCAGGGGCGGAGCCAAGAATTTGGTTCGGGACCACGTTAACACTGACAAAAGAAATTTTTTTTTTCAAACAGGCCGAAAATATAATAGTGTAATAACATGCATTAGAACAAGTGAATAAAAAATGAATAAGAAAAGAAAAAAGAAGGTAATGCACATAAATTATGCATCAGTGCAAGAAAAATTGAATTTTTTAAGAAGAGAACTTTAAAGGAAAAAATAGCTTTTAATTGTAGAAATAGAATGCAAAAGTTTTCGAAGATGACAAAAAAAAAAATTTGAAGAATAAGAAGGAAAATGAATAAAGAATTAAAGACGTTTTTAGAAATAGATAATTTTATGGGGGATAATTTATAAACTTTATGGGGTGTTTTATAAATATTTACAAATTATACGCATAAAATAAAATAAAATTTAGTGGATTCAGGGGCAGGGGGCCATTTTATCAATTTTTATAAATTTATGTAAAAAATAATTTTTTTTTAAAAAAAAATCTAGTTGGGCAGCATGGGTAGGGGGGCAACGCCCCTGGGCACATGTTGTCTCCGCCCTTGCTCACTGGTATTAAGAGGAATGAAGCCACTGAAAAACAATTAGAAGATACAATTGTCCTCATACGGGGAGAGAGTATTTCAAGTCAAATTTCTTAATTCCAGTTATAAAAAACAAAAAAAAAAAATTCAAATTTCTATATGGGCAGGGTTGTGATTAGACTAGAATTATAATTTCATTTTTTCTACCTTCTTACTTTTCCTTCCGTTGTCAATTTCATCTAGATAAATCCCCAATTCAATTGCTTTGTCTTTGAGGTCGTTGTGCACTATTTAGTGTATGTCCCCTCCACGCAGGGTGTTCTAACATTTTTGACATTAAATTTTACGAAGTGGCTGCTCTCAATCCTGAACCTGAGACCTCAAATAACTTTTTAATCTTATTTTTGTCGAATTGGAAGAGAAGTGGAGGAAGGAACACTTTTGAAAAATATACTATTCCACTTAATTAATATGGGAGTGTACGTGCACGAGATTACATGTTTCGAAACCTGTTTTACAATTACATGTAAATACGAGATACTCCACTAACTAACATAATTTTTAGTAAACATGATTAACATATTTAGATTATATTATATTCGTTGTTTAGATTGTTAACATAATTATATTATATAATCATTATAATAATAATTTATTAACCTATTGATATTACCCTATTTATATTTACTTTGTATATCATTATCGTGACATTAATTCAATATATTTTTTCATTTTATATCACTGTCTCTCTCTCTTTATAATCAATATAGTATCAGAGCAACTGCCGAAAATGACAGCATAAGCCAACCTCATCTCCGGCGGCGGTGCAAGGTCCTCAATCAAACCACGCGGCCTCAACACCTCAATCTTCATGGAGTTTTCTCTTTCTTTCATTTTCTCTTCTATTTGGTCCAACTTTGCACATGCCTCTGCTTCTGCACAACAGATGCGCCCACCGGCCTTCACCACTGCAGTAATTGCAAACCTCTTCACCACTGCCACATCCTTTCTTGCTACTGTCGAGAGCAACCTCGGCGACACCACAGCCGGCTATTTCGCCATCTCTTCACTGCTACCTTGCTCGCCACCGCCGATGATCTGTTTTGTAGAACTCTTGTCTCAGTCCCGCACCCTCGCCGGACCAGCCCGCGCCTGCGACTGCTGTCCGTTCTCTCTGCCGGATCTATGCGCATACCTTGCTTCCCACTGTTCACCGTCGCTGGAATAGCGAGTATTTCAGTCGCCTACCGCCGTTCAACCTGTTCCACGGTCATAGCTGGCCGTCGTCAGTCCTTTTGCTCGCCGTCGACCAAACACTTCCATTCTCGTCACCGATGGGTTCTTCAGGTTCTCTGTTCAACCCCGTCACCGCCGGTATGCGACGTCATCACCTCTCCAAGCTCAACCTCAGTCATTACCGCTGCGTAGACCCATCTCTCGCCGGTCGCATAGCCGCCACCGGTTAGAATATCGCCGTTGTTTTTCATCACAGTCAGTTTCCGAATGTCCCGTGCTCGCTGTCGTCCGAGTAGTTGCCGGTAGTTTCTTCAGCGCTCTATGGTGCCGCTCCGTCCTTTCTCTCTTATAAAATCTCCTCTGCAATCTAGAGAGAGAAACAGTCTGTAACCCCAAAAAAAAATAATAATGAGCGTGCTAAAAGGATGTGGACCCCCGGGACCCCTCCTCACCACGTTGACTAACGGAATCAATTTTTATATATAATGTTTTATAGACAATGTGATAGAGTTTAATAAAAAATAAAATAGTTAATTTATGATAAATTTTATAAAAATTATTTTATTTTTTTTAAATATATTATTATTTAATTATATTTTTTTTTATCAAAAAAATTTTAAAAAAATATATAAATAGGTAATATATATTAGATTTTATAAAAATTCTTTTAAAAACTCTTTTTATATCAATTAATAAATATTTTTTTATATTAATAATTCTTATCTAATTAGATTCCAATAAATAAATAAATAAGTAATTTGTGTTATGATTTTATAGAAACTCTTTTAAAACCTCTTTTTATATCAATTAATAAATAATTTATTATATTAACAATACTTGTCTAATTAGATTTCCTTTTATTAAAAAAACTCAAAATAAATAGGTAATTTATATTAGAGTTTTTATAAAAAATCTTAAAATATATCTTTATCTAATGTATTATAATTTTATTAAAAATAAAATAGATAATTTGTGGTAGAGTTTTTTTAGTCTGATTAGATTTTCTTTTATTAAAAAACTTATAATATATAAATAAATAAGTAATTTGTGTTAGACTTTAATAGAAACTCTTTCAAAAACTTTTTTTATATCAATTAATAAATATTTTTAAATTTTAATAATTCTTGTCAAAATAGATTAGCTTTTATTAAAAAAAAAAAAAAAATAAAAAAAAAAAAAGGTAGTTTGTGATAGAGTTTTAGAAAAATTATTTTATTTTTTATATCAATTAAAAAATATTTTTTATATTAATAATTCTTGTCTAATTAAAATTTTTTTTATTAAAAAACTTATAATAAATAAATAAATAGGTAATTTGTGTTAGAGTTTAATATAAACTCTTTTAAAAATTCTTTTTATATAAATTAATAAATATTTTTATTTTAATAATTCTTGTCTAGTTAGATTTACTTTAATTAAAAAATTCATAATAAATTGATAAATTGGTAATTTGTGTTAGAGTTTTTTATAGAAACTTTTTTAAATCTCTTTTTATATTAATTAATAAATAATTTTTTCTATTAGTAATACTCGTCTAATTAGATTTTCTTTTATTAAAAAATTCACAATAAATAGATAAATAGATAATTTGTGTTAGTGTTTTATAGAAACTCGTTATTATGAAGATTTTAGTGTTTATATTTTTTTTAATATAAATAAATAAATACTGAAACTCTTTGCACATCTAATAATAGTATAGATAAAAACTCTTTTTAATAAATACTGAAATTCTTTGGCAGAGTTTCTGTATTTTACTCTGTAATTCTATATTTCTAGAATTCTCAATTTATATACCCCTTCCTCCATGCTTCTAGACGGGCTGATTATAATGTGATAATTATTCATAAAAAATAACTATTCTTTTTATATTGAATTAAAAATAAGAATTTTATATAGAATATGATTGATATTATGAGGTAATTTTGTAATTAATAAATATTTTTTATATTAATAATTCTTGTCTAATTAGATTTACTTTTAGTAAAACAAACTCATAATAAATAGATAAATAGGTAATTTGTATTAGAGTTTTATATAAATTCTTTAAAACCTTTTTTTTTTTATATCAATTAATAAATAATTTTTAATATTAATAATACTTGTCTAATTAGATTTCCTTTTACTAAAAAAACTCACAATAAATAAATAAATAGGTAATTTGTGTTAGAGTTTTATAGAAACTCTTTAAATATATCTTTGTTTAGTGTGATAAAGTTTTATTGAAAATAAAATAAGTAATTTGTGATAGAGTTTTATAGAAATTATTTTATTTTCTTTAAATATATCCTTGTCTAATTAGATTTAATTTTATTAAGAAACTTATAATAAAAATTAATTTGTGGTACAGTTTTAGAAAAATTATTATTTTTTATATA